ATATGTCCATGTGTGTGTGGCATACAGATTAACCGTTTGGTTGTTACAGTTACAGTTAACGTTACGGCTAAAAGTAATCCTCACTTAGCCTGCTTATGTTTGTTGTAATTAATGCTTAGATCGTCACAAATAAAACCACTATATATGTATTCTAGTACCTAAATAACTTTAGTTGCGCCTCAAATTCCTCTATACATACATAGTTAACGAAAATTAGATCTGTATATATGTGTTCAAGTGTGTGTATGTGTGTATGGGTGGGTGGGTGTGTGTGTGTGTGTGTGTGTATGTTTTTTTTGTTTTCCTAACCATGCAAAGTGAACGAAAAGCTCTTAATGAAGAACTCGAAACTGTACGGAAATCGATGAAATCGAAAACGAAGAAATGCATCTGTATCTGAGAACGTATATATATAATTCGTATCGTATTCTAACAATCTAACAATCTCCTCTCGTTTCAGTGCCAAACAAAACAAGGAATAATCCAAATTATTGTTGAAGTGAAAGATTTGTTGTATGTTCTCCGTCAAAGTATTCCTTACACGAACTTATGTAGGTAGCCTATTCATTTGAGATTTCTTATTTATCGTATGTTTATTATTTTGTTTTCTTTTTTTTCGGTTTTTTCGTTTTTTTGAGTTAAGAGTTAGTTAGTTTTAAGCTTTACTTTTTCATCTTATTCTCTGCTTTGTTTTGTTGCATGTTAACAGTCTCAATTTTGGTTTTATTTTGGTTATTTTGCATATTTTTGCTCTTTTTTTGTTTTGTTTTCCGTTTTTTGTCTATTATTATTATTTTTTTTAAACTACATACAAATTAGTTATGTTTACTATCTCTCTGGTTTGCTTGGTTTATTTGGTAACGCATATCGTTTTTTCATTTTCGTGTTCTTCTAAAATTACCATGTATAGATACACATACATACCTCGTGTTTAGAATTTATGCTTAAGATCGAACCGAAGCCAAGGTAAAAATCAAAAACAAATGCATCAGAGACCATATATATAAACAATTTGCTGGCGTAACTAATCATTAAACGACTTATGCACTTAGATATTTCTCGTCATCTCTTAATCAATGCTACTATTTATCATAATTCTTATTATTTTCATTTGTTTGATTTTATTTCTTATATGTGCTGTCATAATAACGCCACGGAATTGATTTAATTGTGTGTTACAAAAAACATGTACAAAGCATGCACAACACACATCAGATATTAACCCTATTTAACCATGTGCTGCAGCAGTCTACGTCTGTGTTGCATCTTTGTATTACTTTGTCGTAATCTTATTGTGTTTTTGGTTTTTTATGTTAGGTTTGCCTTGCCTATAAATTTAGTCATTACAAAAGGTGTCTTAGGTGGAATCGTTTTGTCTTAGGAATTTAGCTTAGATATCTGTGTAATTTCCTTATTTCAAATCATTCTAGTTAGTCTTTAAAGGCTAATACGAGAGTACAGTTGAATACACGTGAACCAAAAACAATTGTGGGGGAAAAATCGCTCTTTAAATTGTATATATAGCTTTTAGAAAATCCAGTTACTTAGCTTAACTATGATACCAGTCGAAATTGTTAACCAAATCGATAAATACATATATATATATGTATATATATGTATTCAACTGACTTTAGCAACTACAATGTGTAAAAACGGTTCATTGATCTTCTAAGTTAATATTTTTTTCTTTGCATTGCATTTTCAGTTTTTGTTCATTTCTCGCAGTTTGCATTTTGGCGCTTCATTCGTAAGTATTTAGCTTATATTTTAAGTTATTTAGATCGTTTTATATCTATTTCATTGTCATTTATTATGGTATATCGGCGAAATTTGAAAGTCCTAAAAAGTGTTACCAATTAGTCAAATATCTTATTTTAAATCATTTCCTATTCAAAAACAAGCACATACTCAAAATCAAACCAAATTTATAAATATTTTGTCATCTTTCGTTACGATCCGCTAAAAAACAAATAAAAATAAAGAAAAACGTATATCATGTTCATATTTCCGATTGATTTGCATGTTTTTTCGTTCCATCCATTTGTTCCGAAAACCAAAAAACAAAACCAAATACACGAAATGACATCGAAACGGAAATGAAAAGACAAGAAACAAAACAGATCCAATATCATATGCTCTGGATGCGTGGACATACATATAATGCTTGATTCTTACTTGTCTGTTGTATGGACTTGCTACAACAATATCCTTACAATATGTCACCGCTTACATTTAAGTTTGCATTTTTGTATACTTTTTTCTTTTCAATTTTTTTTTTTACTTTTTCCGGAAGTATATTTAGCATAATTTTTGTCATTTGTTGAAAGTGCAACACTTCATAGGTTTTTGTGTTTTTTTTTTTTTTAGTACAATATTTAGATTTATTTTTACTGTTAAATTGATATATTTATGCATATATTTATATGTATATATATATTTATATATATATATATGTATATATAATTGTATATAGTAGTTGTAATTACGTTTAGATGCATATATATGTAGTTCATTTATTAGGTTTTTTTTTTATTTAAAAAATGTTTAACTTTAAATCATAATTCGTACGGATTAAAAAAGAAATTGTTTTACAATTAACAGTCAGTGTGTTTGTTTTTTTTTTAAATAATTTTTTTTTTTTTCATTTACGTTTACATTTTTCATTACTTTAAACCTTGCTTTAACTATTTATGTATATTTCCTTGAATTAGTTATTAATTTTACCATTACTTATTTCAAATTGTTAAACATCACTTTATTTTATTTTTTGTTTTTTTTTGTTGTAATTTTTATTTAAAACTGTTTTCTGCATGCAAAAAAAAGGGGTGTTTGTTAACAAAAAGAAGACATTTTGTATAAGATGTAAGTATGCAATGATCATAATCATAATAATAATATTAATGTTTTGTTTATTTATAAAATTACATCAGGTTTTTCATATTTTTCTTAGCTGCTTTTCTTGACCAACACATTTTAGCTCATTCAACTATGCTTCTTAAGTTTGTTGGGTGTGGTTGTTGTTTGTTTGTTTGTTATTGTGGTTGTTGCTGTTATTGTAGTATATGCGACTCATATACACATATGTACATATATTGTTACATATATACATACATATACGTATATAACCGTTTAATGTCTAGATTAAGCCTGATACATTGATGTCGCACGATCGGCATATGCTAGCCTGTTGTTGCCTTGCTGGAAATTACAAGAATTACACAAGTGGAAAAAAGATGGACCGAAACATTCTTTGTCTCTCAACTGATCCCCGCTGGCCAAGCGCAGTGTTTTCGTTTCGTTTTTGTTTTATATACAACATACAATTAGACATGAACAATTTACACACACACACACACACACACATACACATACATACACACTGTCGCACACGCAAACAAAGACACACATACACAATCGGCAGCGCACAGCTGAATTTTTTAAATTAAATGAAAACAAAAGCAATTTTTTGTTGGTATTTTTTTTTTCAAAATTTTCAAACGTTTTTCATACGTTTCACTTTACTTTGTTGTTCTCTTTTTTTTTTTGTTTTTTTCTTCTCTTTTACTGTGTATTTTGCATTGTTTACGTTAGTTTTGTTTGTTATTGTGTTTTTTTAAGTGTATAATTATATAAAAAATTTAAGCATATGTTTATATGTATATTTGTAATTTTAACGAAATTAAATTAGGAATTTATGATTGTAGGATTTGTTTGCTAAGTAGATTTGTAAAAATTAGACGAAAAAAACACTATGCAATAAATCACCGAAAAATAAAGTAAGGTATATATGTATGTATGTATATTGTAATTGTAAATGTATTGTAAATGTTCGCGTAATCAACAAATTAAAAATTACGTTTTTTTTTTATGTTGTTGTTGTTTTTGTAGTTGTAATAGCATTAAAAAATGATTACTTCATATTTATATATGTAAATGTGTAAGTGTATAAATGTATCTATTAGCGTATATATGCATATACACATATATATATAAATATAAATAAATATACATATATATGTACGTACGTAAGGTTTTTGTAATTTGTAATAATAAATTGTAAAATCGCATTAATTATTTAAGAATTAGTTTACTTGTTGTTTTTTGTTGTTGTTTTTGTTGTAGTTTACAAAACACATTCAAATGATCATGTATGTGATTAAGAGTAAATAATATAAAGTAATTAAAGATATATATATGAATGTATACAATCAATAAAATATGCAATTCTTCTCATCCTTCTTCTTCTCCTCTGCGTGTGTGTATATATATATATACGTGGGTATGTGTATGCGCGTGTGTGTATGTTCCGAGTCACACACTCACTCTCACTCACACACACACACACACAAACACACATGCTAATTGTTGATGTTGATATCTTGCTGTTGTTGTGGTTGTTGTCTGCTTGGCAAACGATGAAAATTTAAAAATGTGCAACGCAACTCAAAGCATCGTTTTTTTCTATTTATCTCTCTTCTCAATCTCTGTCTCTCTCTAGCTATTTTCTCTTATGACTTTTGTTTTCTATTCTGTTTTAACTGTAGTTTAAATTTACGTTTTTTTTGTTTATTTAAATTTATGTATATATATATATATATATATTTTATATATATAGAGATGTATATAAGTATGTATATAGTTTTTTTGCTTTTATTCTTTTTTCTTTCTTTTATGTATATTTTGTTTAGGGCGTTTCGTATTTTTTGTTTTTTGTTGTTTTTTTTTTCATTAGCTTTTTCATCATAAATCATCTTTGTTGTTTGCGATTCTCATCTGTTTCTTTTAACTAAATAATAATTCCAACACTATATAATTCTAGTTTCAAGTTCAACTTTCGCTTACATGCAAACGACATACGACATACGCTTATTAATTAGGTTTCTTTATATATGTAGTTTAACTTTTAGCTAGTTGTTTACTTTACTTGGTTTTTTTAAATGGTAAATTTATAAATTTTGTAACATGTTGTTGTCGGCGCCAATAGCCCAATTATCATCATCTAAATGTCCATGCTATATATATATATATAATAATTATCCCCGTTTTCTGTTCTCGGACAAATCGTGCAAAAATACACAGTAGCTAAGGCGAGCCGGATCTGATCTGTACATCTGATCTGTATATATAGCTTCTATATGTACATCTTAACATCTCTTCCTGTATGAGCCACCTTGGCAGCTGCTGCGCCTTGTCGCCAAATTTATGCACTTGTCTCTCTCTCTTTTTGGGGATTTGCATGTGATTTATGTGTGTGTAGTATGTGTATGTGTGTGAGTGTGTGTGTGTGGGTGTTAAATTATGATTTTTTAAATTATTTTGTTGTGGGTACACAAGAGTTTACATTAATTAATTTCAACATCTGATCTCAATTAAAAAATATCATTTAAAAATTATGAAACGAACAGACGACGCTTTAGCTTACAATTACCACCATCTTTTTGTCTTCATCATTCACCTCTTTCGGTTCGAGGGGGGCCGCAGGACGACAGACAGGAGAGACGACAACACGCGCGCGCTTCTCTCTCTCTCTCTCCTTCTCGCTCTCTCGATCTCTCTGTTTCGCTGGCTGGCTCCTTAGACGGCCTGCGAGGCGGCATACGGCGGCTGTGTGGAGCTGTCGTTGCCGTACGCTGACCGCGGACCGGCGCCATAGTTCGAGGCGCCCTCCTGCTTGACATAATTGCTATAATCGTAATCGTAGCCGGAGCCGTAGCCGCCATAATCGTACTCGGAGCCCGATTTGGAGGCCGAGTTGCCGGGTCCGGTGCGCGGCATGCCGCCAACGGGTCCAGTTGTCGATGGACCGCCCGCTGCCCAGGTCTGAGCACGCGAATACATATCCGTGGCGGTGCCAGCGCCAGCACCCGGTGCTCCAGTTGGCCCAGCTGAATTTGGTGGCACGTTCCACGAGTTCCAGCTGCCACCGCCCGACGGACCCGACGGGGCACCCGTCGACGTCGAGTTGTACATGTCGTAGCCGCCGTAGCCCTGGGTCTGCTGTGGCCCGGCATAGTTCGACCATTGTGGCGGTGGTCCCTGGGGGCCAGGTGGTGCGCCCCAACCCTGGTACGAGCCCGGGCCGCTGTTGCCATAGCCATAGCCCTGCTGCTGCGGCGAAGTGCCCCAGCCTTGGTAGCCGGGCATCATATTGGGCGCACCAATTGGCATATTCAACGGGGGACCTCCCATCTGGCCGTTCTGGCCCTGCATCATGTTGATGGGCGCATGATGCGGTCCCCAGTGGCTGCACTCATTTCCCAGCTTGCCATAGGCACCACCCACAGCACTGTTGTTAGAGTTCTGCCCACCTGAACCGTCGCGTGGCTCCGCCTTCTTAATTTCCACCTGCAAAAACACACACAATATTAACGACAACGATCATTGTCACAAATCTAGTTAAATTAAATAGCTAAGAAAGTTTATCAGTATTCACATATAAATATGACTAAATTTATGCATATACTATACGAAAATATAGTTCTTTTGGGGGTGTCAGTCGTCAGTCAAGCGATGTTTCTCTTTTTTTTTTTTTTGTCTATTAATTTGAGATAACATTATCTATTAAATATAGATAAATTCTTTTTTAAACATAATTTTTGCTTTAGTAAATAAATACATCAATTAAAAACCCCTCCCGTTTACGCACCTGTTTGCCATTCAGGTTAATGTAACGCTCGTTGGTGACATGCTCCACGGAGGACTCCTCCTCGAAGGATAAGAAGCCAAATCCACGTGATTTCTTCTTCTCCTGGTCGTACATGATGACCACCTCGGTCACCTTGCCGTAACGACCAAAGAAGGTGCGCAGATCGGTCTCCGTCACGTTCGATGGCAGACCGCCGAGGAACACCTTGTAACCGCCGCCCTTTTTCGGCTTCTGCAGCGTACGAGGATTGCACGGCTTGGGATCGATGGTACGACCGTCGAGCGTGTGCGGTCCATTTTGGAGCACATGATTGACGTTCGCCGGATCGGCGAAGGTGACAAAGCCAAAGCCGCGCGATCTGCCGCTCTCATTGTTCTTCATGACGACACAATCTATGATGTCGCCGAAGCGGCAAAAGTAGCGGGAGAGATTTTCCTGCGTTGTCTCCCACGACAGGCCGCCAACGAACAGTTTACCCCTTTCGTCCTCTTCCATGATGTTGTTCTGGTGATTGTGAGCTATTGCGCCGGGTAGGTTTTCAATAATTGACGTAATTTTGCTGCTGTTTATATTACACTTGTGGGACTGAATTTATTATCGGTCGCTGTTTTTATTTTTGTTGTTGTTGTTGCTACTTCTGCTTCTTGTTTGCACTTTGATTTTTACACAAGTTGTGGTTGTTGCTGCTGTTGTTGTTGCGTGTTTTGGGATTGGATTCAGTTGCCAAAGTTTTTTTTTTGTTTTTTTGTTGTTTTTCTTTATTATTATATTTCAAATAATTAAACAAAAGCCACGACGTTTACACGTAACTTTCTGATTATTTTTAAAGATGACCCCAGGCGTCAGTTGTTGCGGAAGTGATGAAAAATACAAACATGCAATGAAAAAATATCAAATTATCAGCATAAAGAAATACCAAGTTATAACTAAATCGTAACTAACTCTGGCCACATTGGACAAGAGAGAACGGATACAAAAAAACGAACACTCACACACATATACGTACACACACACACATGAACCACATACAAAGCAACCAAAATAGGCACAAATAATTATGAAAGGCAGGTAAGCAGCAAGCAGCAGTTCCGCAGCCATCAACCGGCCGGTACACATAGCTACGCATACCTATGTATGTATTTATGTATGAGTGTACATATATCTGCTTTTGCCGTTTAACTGCTTTTTGTACACGTTCACAAGTTGTTCGGCGTTTGCAACGCTCCGCTTGCTCTTTTATGCTCTATTCGAGCGCGCTAATCGTCAATTGCCGTTTTGTCTTTTTACTACACTCTGCTACGAGAAAGTACTTTTTGTAATTTTTTTTTTTAAGTTTTCTTTTTGCTGTGTAACAACATAAGCTAACTTCGTTGACGTAGCTATGTCCCAGCCACAGCGTCATTCATTTCACACACAAACACCTACACGCACATGCACACACACATACACCACAAGTGCCTATCGAAGAATCATGAGAACAACGAACTTTTTTCTCCAAGGTAAAAATGGTGAAAACAGTTTGACAGACAGAAGGGCAAGCATAAGGCAAAGTGCCGGTTCACCACATTTGCGCGCCATTTGTTCTATATTGCCAGACATTTGTTTGGTGACCGAAAAACAACTGACCTTGTTAATTAATTACAATTAATAAACAAATATTTGTATTTTACCAATGTATTACCATAACACTTATTTTTTAAAGTCAACTAATTATATTTAAAAACAATTAAATGGGTTAGCGAGACTGTAGCTAAATACGTGAAGAGGAGAAAACCATGTGGCAACGCCATGTGCTATGTGAAAGCGAATGTAAAATGAAAAGAAAGATACAAAAAGCAATGCCCTCAAAATGTTCATATGTATGCATGAGCGAATATGTGAAAAATTTAAACATAAAATACCACACGAATTTGAGAACCTCACGTTTCAGTTTTTACTTTATTCGACTTCTTTTTTTCAATTTAGACTATCGTTGCGCGTAAATTTTTTATAATTACATGAACTCTTCAAAACAATCGCAATGAATTGCATGAAATGCGAGAAATTCACCACGAACAGCAGCAGAGACGGTGGCGGCGTGACGGCAGCAAAATAAAAAAAAAAAACAAAATGGAAGTCTTGCCGATGACGACAAAAATGCGTTGACAAAGAAATCTGAAGAACTGATTTTGAAGACACAAACACTAGCAAAATGATTTTCGAAGAGAAAATCTGCCACATGAACTATTTTTTTTAAGAATCTTGTGTTTCCTATAAATCGTTGACCGGCAAAAGAAAACGCGCACAATTTACACAATCATATTGCACATTTGCATAGTTCATGGATAAACTAGTATATTTTCTTACTACGCAATTTTAAAAATTCGCATGATTTTTTTTTGTATTTTGCACCGCAATCTTTCATACATACATACGCAATTACACTTACAGACTCACACGTGTCTATGTGCGCGTATTGTATTAATGTGAGCGAGAGTGTGTATGCGAATGGCCGATGTGTCTTCTGTGTGTGCGTGTGTATGTATGTGTTGGTGTGCTGTTATACATAGCATTTTTTGTGTGTATAAAAATATGAAATTTTCCACTTAAATAAAAAAAAATTTAACAAGTATAATCGTTTTCTTTAGCTACGACACAAACAAAAGTAATTATTTTTACATGGGGCGCAGAGAATTTCTGCATTGTTAGCGGCGTCGCAATTTCACAAAGCAAATCTGTTTTCTATACCAGGCAGCTGCTGCCGTCGCACATTTAATTTTGGAAAGGCAGGCAGAGGCTTCGTTTTTTTCTTTTTGATGCAGCAGATTCGTTATATAAAATATGTATTTGCATTGTTGTTTGAGCTTACCGTTTGTGCTAAGTGTTCGTCTGTGGTTTTTTAAAGATTTCGCACTGCAAATTCACTAAATTTAAGTGTTTTTTCCTTAAAAAACTAGCTTATAAATAATTGTATGATTTGATGCATACGATATATAACCTAACTTATGATAGAAAACTCGCCACCGCCACGTTTAATGGTGGTAGCCATTCACAATTAACCGCTGCACTATTGTTATCGGTTGCACATGGTTGTATTTTGTATTTATCAATCAGGGCGTCAGAAGCAGCAGTTTCACCAACCAATTAACCTTATACAAATATGATTTTACAATATTTTTATCATAGCCCTGAAGCACTAATATAATTAAAATACCATTCACCATTTAACATATTACAATGTATAACGACGAAGTTATTATCGATGGTGATAAAAATGTCCAAGATATCAATCGATTAACTCGAAAGTTGTGCCGATGAAGTGGCTTAATACGGAAAACAATTTCGGCTTTGATTACTTACTCTGCTACCGAAAAATTAAGTGCTGATCGACTGTAAAATATCGATAGTGAGAAACTCACCTCATTTAGCTCTGTAGTTGCGTTCATACTGGTCATAGAACTGGATCATTTGTTGCTTAAATTTGTATCGCCCTGACCAGAAAAGAACGAATGAACACCCAGGTGCATCGTTCAGTGAACCGTTCAGTTTGGTTCACTCACCCAATCATTGTCCGAGTCGGCAAAAACAGTTTTGTGCCGAAATAAATATAGTGCCTAAATAACACAAATTAATACATCATCACAACAAAAGTAATGTTAGCCAATCTTCGGTTCGAATAACCGAATGCGCTTTTGACCAAACGGCGGCGGAACGCGAAACTCTTTCACACTCGAATCGATTTTTTTCCTGCGCTGCGCTTGCCATTTTCACCAAGCGCCCAAGCAGCGAAAAGTAACCAACCCAAGCTAGAAAATGTCGCGCCATCCAAGCGACCGCAAAGTGTACGTCGGTGATCTGGGTAACAATGCACGAAAGAACGATCTGGAATATGTGTTCGGTGCCTACGGCAGTCTGCGCAGCGTCTGGATTGCCCGCAATCCCCCAGGCTTCGCCTTTGTGGAATTCGAGAGCGCCAGAGATGCAGCGGATGCGGTTCGAGGCTTGGACGGACGAACGCTTTGCGGACGCCGAGCTCGTGTCGAATTATCCACAGGCAAATATGCTCGATCCGGTGGCGGTGGTGGTGGTGGAGGAGGAGGAGGCGGAGCCGGCGGTGGTGGTTTCGGTGGAGGAGGAGGACGTGACCGAGGCGGCGGTCGTAGCGATGATAAATGCTATGAGTGCGGCATGCGCGGTCATTTTGCGCGCCATTGCCGCGAGCGGAAGGCCCGACAACGACGCAGGTTAGTGAGAGCAATTTCATTCATAACTTTTACATTTTATGCTTACATCAATATGCATACATTAATACATACACGCACACACACACGTACATTCATGTGTACATACATTTATGTGTGTGCTTAGATGGATTTTTGCACATCGAGTTCGAAATTATTGTTTCGTGTGGTGAATTTGGGCTATGTTGAGTTGGTGCAAGTGCGACAAATTCAGAAAAATGCGCGCGACTTTTTCACATAACAATAATGTCTTTCTATTGAACTATGCTCAATTCAAGGATAAAAATATTTTTAGTGATAAATATAACTGCCAGCAACTTGTGTTTTGTATATAAAAGAGTGAATTTGTTATTTTATGTGTATTTGATAACGCCAAGTGCAATTTATCGATAGTTTGCATAACTATCGCATCGGTTTTCGCGTGAAATAGCAACGCTGGCGCACGCAGACGCACGTGTTTGCAGGCCTCATTTTGGATTTTTCTTTTACACGCGGCGTCAGACTCGAGAAGGTTAAGTTCGTGTTTGCTGCGCGACACAAAGTATTTCTTCACATAAATATTGTTGCATTTAAGTGTGCACAATGTTTGTGTTATATGAAACGCCGGCGGGCTACGCAATTTTCAAGTTGCTCGACCAAAAGAAACTCGAGCAGGTTGATAATTTGTATCTGGAATTTGAGACACCCGAAAAAGCGAACAAATTGCTTAAACTGAAGCATTTTGAGAAATTCAATGATACCACAGAGGCACTCGCTGCTGCCACCGCAGCAGTCGAGGGCAAAGTATCCAAACCGCTGAAGAAGACATTGAAAAAGCTGCTGGTCGATGACGTGCAATCGTCGCTGCTGGTGGCCGATGCCAAGCTGGGCACAGCCATCAAGGACAAACTGTCGGTGCAGTGTGTGTACAATACGGGGGTGCAGGAGTTAATGCGCTGCATACGCCAGCAGGCGGACAGCTTGCTCGGTGGTCTGCCTAAACGTGAGATGACCGCCATGGCATTGGGTCTGGCACATTCATTGTCCCGATACAAGCTGAAGTTCTCGCCGGACAAGATTGACACGATGATTGTACAGGCGCAGTGTCTACTCGATGATTTGGACAAAGAACTGAATAACTATATGATGCGGGCCCGCGAATGGTATGGCTGGCATTTTCCCGAACTGGGCAAACTGATCACGGACAATGTTGCGTTCGTAAAGACAATCAAATTGGTGGGCACCAGGGATAATATGTCCACCTCAGATTTGTCTGACATTCTGCCGGAAGATGTGGAACAGCAGGTGAAGGAAGCGGCGGAAATTTCCATGGGCACCGAAATCAGCGATGAGGATGTGATAAATATTCAGTGTCTGTGCGATGAAATCATTTCCATCAACGATTATCGCACACATCTCTATGACTACCTCAAGGCACGCATGATGGCCATGGCGCCCAATTTAACGGTGCTCGTGGGCGACACAGTTGGCGCCCGTTTAATTGCGCACGCCGGTTCGTTGATCAATCTCGCCAAGCATCCCTCATCAACTGTGCAGATCTTGGGCGCTGAGAAGGCCCTGTTCCGTGCACTCAAAACGAAGAAGGATACGCCCAAATACGGTTTGATCTATCATGCCCAGCTGGTCGGTCAGGCGAGCCAAAAGAACAAGGGCAAAATGTCACGTTCCCTGGCAGCCAAGGCATCGCTGGCGACGCGTGTCGATGCCTTCGGCGAGGAGGCCACCTTTGAGCTGGGCGCCACACACAAAGTAAAACTGGAGTCGCGACTCCGTCTGCTCGAGGAGGGTAATCTGCGCAAACTGTCTGGCACGGGCAAGGCCAAGGCCAAGTTCGAAAAGTACCAGGCCAAGAGGTGCGTTGTCATTTTTTTTTAGTTACACTCATTGTTCATTTTGGTCAAGTAGAAGGCTCTCCATATGATGATAACACCCATGGTTTCGCAACGTTTACTGATTTCCACAGTGATGATAACCCTTGGCCGTCTGATTGAGCTCTCCAACTTGTCCAAATGTGCAATAATTATATATTTATATAACACTTATTAATCTATACAATGCAAAATTTCAGTGAGGTTTTCACCTATCAGCCGGAGGCGGATAACACGCTGCAGGTGAAGAAACGCAAACATTCAGAAGCTGAAACGCCCGTCAAACAGGAGGAGGCTGCTGACGCTGAGGCAGCAGATGAGTCCCAGTTGAAATCTGAAAAGAAAAAGAAGAAGAAGAAGAAGCAAAAGGATGAAGAGTCTCCAGAAGCTGAGGAGGCTGAGGCTGAGGAGGAGGAAACGCCCGCCCAGCCGCCGAAGAAAAAGAAGAAGTCCAAACATCAAGAATAGGCTTGCTTTTGTTGTTATTTGGGCTATATTTGATAGTGCTTAGGCTTATAGATTTTAGCAGTTACCATTTTAGTTTTAAATCATCCACAAAATACAGTTTTATTTGTTGTGTACTACATTAGAAATAAAATGTAACATGTCAAACAAAATTAAACACAATTTGTTTTATGATGAAACCAAGTTAAGTATGTATGTATTTATGTATGCAGAAATTTTACATATACATCAAGCGTCAAGTGCATTGTTCTTGTTATTGTTTGAAGAAATTTTAACAAGTTAACAACCCCATTTAGATTATGGCCTTAATGTCATATTAAGTAATCTAAATTGAAAGCAGCACCTGGTTTAATAATTTTTGAAGTGAGATAAGAAAACTGAAATCTAAGCTTATAATCTTAAGCAGAGATTACAGCTCTGTGGCCCACTGTAAGTTGTAATAAATGCGATTACGACCTACGCCAAAAAAAAAAACAAATGTATATATATTTTATATAGGTGTTGAGATGGGCGATCAAGTGGAACACTTACATCAGTCTTGCATCACTCGAGTCTGCGGATTTTGCGGTGAGCTGGGTCCAATCCGTTGGCAATATATAAGCGTAGCCGACGAATGCCCAGAGCGCTCAGTTCGACAGAATGATGGGGAGCCAACTGAAGTTGCTGTTGGTGTTGGCGCTGCTGCTGACCTGCGTGGCAGCCAAGAAGAAGGAGGCATCCTCCGCGGAGGAGGAAGAAGGTGGCGACAAGTATGAGAAGAAGAAGTATGGTGATGAGGAGCACAAGGGCGAACATGGTCACAAGGAGCACAAGGAATGGGATGAGGATGAAAAGAAATATCACGAGGTGGAGGACCATGAGCATCATCATGGCGACGAGGGCAAAAAGAAGAAGAAACACTACGATGAGAAGGATGAATATGGGGAGAAACATGAGCACGGTGCTCACAAAAAGGGCGGCAAGGATCATCACAAAAAGAAGCACAAGAAGGGCCACAAGGAGATGGAGTACCATAAGAAATTCAACAAGGACGAATACTACAAGGAGAAGAAGTTCTACGATGACGAGCACAAGGGCGGCCATCACAAGAAATATGGCAAGGAGCACAAGCATCACCAGGGCGAGCACGGTGAGCACGAGAAGGGGGAGAAGCACGAAAGCGGCAAGAAGAAGGGTCACAAAAAACACGAGGACCACTACAAGAAGGGCCATCACGACGAGGATCACAAGAAGTACAAGAAGGAGCACAAATACGGCGACAGCTTCGAGGACAAGGAGGAGCACGGCAAAAAGGGCGACAAGCATGGCGGCCACAAGCATCACAAGAAGGGTGGCAAGAAACATGGCTAATGGCGATCTCTCTTCAAACTCTCCAACAGCAAATCTAAATTGTAATTAATAATAATAATACAAAAATAAAATAATGCTTAAGCGTATTCCTTGCGAACAATCTTAAGTATTTCCGGGGAATGCAGCATACACAAATTGAAATTATCATCTAACAGCAAATCTAAACTGTAATTATTAATTCCAAAATTAGAAAAAAATAATAATAAAAACAATACTTAAGCATATTTCTTTCCAATCCTAAGTATTTTCATGTCATATCAAATATAAATCTATAAGATTTATAATTTTTTGTTGCTTTATTCACTAGTTGAAAATGTAAAGCTTTCCTATCTCGATTCTATATGCGATTTAATATGCAGCTCAAAAGTATGATAATCATTTTGATTTTAATGAATATCATTGCTAAAGTCTCCGTTTACATTTGCAACTCGTTACAGAACCAACTCCTTGAGCAGATCGCGTAGCACATCGCGACGCCGTCGCACTCGCTCCAAATCTGGTGGGACTCGATCACGCAGCCGCTCCGTCGGTTCTGTCGGCCGGCGTTCGGGACGCTCGCGCGAGAATGGACGCAATGAGAACGGATCGGTATCACGTTATAGTGACCAGGAGCGCAACGGGAGTGGAGCGGTGGACTCACCGCCACCAGTGAAGCGACGCTATGATGAGGACGAGGATGACAGAGACAGGGGCACACGATCACCGTCGCCGCCGCCGCGTCGCGGTTCACCGTTGCGACGTCGAGGCGATTCCTCCGTATCGCGTTCCATGTCCAGGGATTAGCGATGAGCAGGGATTCTGATTTTGACCATTAACCATTAGGGCTCAACCAGCAGCTCCTTCATTCCTGAAATCGAAACACACCCAAATTACATCAATAAATATGTTCGACAGGCAGTGTAATTCTCATATTTAGTTGCCCCACATTCTTAGCTTAGACTATAATCTATTGGACTAGGGCGTTTCCCAGCTTTTCGCTGCCCCCTCCGCCTCCTCCTCCACCCCATGCCCATACACCTGGATACGCCCATGTCTATAGACCCTAATATAAATAAATATAAATTCATGCATAACTTTTCTTTGTTTCCGCCGCACGATTCCAAACTTTTTCGAACTGAGCTGAGCAGTTTAGTGTATAAATGCCATGTAGAACAAATTGCGTTTTGAGTTTTTTGTGTACACATAGTAAAAAGACAGAGTAAAAACAATAATAACAATAAAAACAACAATAGATCGAATCGTAATCAATTTAGTAAGTCGATCTAGTCATTCAGCTGATTATGGATTATGTTTATGTTTCTCCAAAACAACAAAATTGAATGAAATATTTTGCTTTTTTCATATACATACATATTTACACCCACAAATACATACACATCTATATAGACACACACAACACACACACATATATATATATCAGGCTAAGAATGTTTTGTATTCGAAAAAAAAAATCAAGAAAAAAATTAATGAGGCAGCTTGAAGTTTTGTAGGGGAAGTAACAAATTTTCATTTAGACAACTGAAACTCTATCCTCATGTCAATTTTTATGATGTAACTGATTATATAACTGAACCTTTTAACCTTGAATACAGAATTCCCTCAAAATGATATTTCACTTCAAGTTTGTAAGGTGTTTTTTTAATATTCATATAAAATAAGCAAACTTATTGCAAATTCAGATTTCTCATACATTACGTCATAGTTAAGTATTATAATAATAATGTATGAATTTTTTGAAATGCGTATTTGTATGTACCAGATGCGTTAAAAAACCTACAATACATAATTATTCAATCAATAAATCAAATGCCAAAAAAAATTGGCTGTGTTTTCAATTCAAGCATACGGAAAAGTTCTTTGGACTGAACCCATTGAAAATGCGTAAAAGGGGTGTAATGAAGTTGTAGAAAAATATGTAGTAGGCTACATATTGACACAATACAATTTCATAGAAATATACCATGCTAGGTCAGTTTAAATTTTCATCAAACATTGTTGGGATCGATTTTGAAAGTGCTCTTAAATAATCGAAAGAAACCGTGTGTGGTATTTAGTTGTATACAAACCTATCGATATATCGTATTTTAAGCAGTATCACTTATCGCACATTGTCACATTGCGATCGATAGGCTCAGATAAATATATTTATATATATATCGATATATGGTCAATTGCGCTTCGCATTCCTACACATAATTCTGTTTTGTGTTTTTGTTTTGTTTATTTTTTTTTCTAACTCGATCAATTTTATGCCCGATCGATCAATAACTGAAAGTGCAGTTAACAAAAACGAAGTGAATTGATAACTTTTGCAATGGCAATGGCATTCCGCTTGTCCAAGCACGAAACGAGCGTCATCAGTGCGGAAGACACTTCGCTCGAGCAGCTCGACTCAAGCGTCGAAATGCAATCGCGTTCCCCATCGCCATTCGTATTTAATCCGCGCAAACTGCGCTTTGCCGACGATGATTTTGACAAGGATCCGCTGGAAAGTCCGCAAAACAACAATAATAACAACAACAACAATATCAACAACAAAAAGAAACCACAGCGAGATGTGGACATGTCGCCGCCCTGCCAGAAAGTTCGAGCACTGCGCCTGTTCAACACGCCCGCAACGCCAAAGACCATCTTGCAAAAGTCAACGACGAACTTCAGCAATCATTTGTCTGGTGCCGCTGCAGCAGCCAATGCCAGCAAACATCAGGTCGAGGATCACATTTTTAAATTAAGCGACCGTCCGCGTTCCCTGCCGCTGCACAACCACAGGAGCATGCAACCCCAGGACACAGCCAATGTTAATCCCTTCACACCAGACAGTGAGTGATTAATAGATTATTAGCGTAGTTTTAAATTAACTTGGACAATATTCGTCTTTTTGCTGCTCTTAATATGTATAAGTCCGATTCGATCTGCTCGGATTATGATGAGTGCGTGTATAACAGTACCAGTATATCTTGACCAATCATAGTTAACGGGTTAAATCTGCGACTACCTTAAGATTGCTGTTCTCTTTCATAATAAGCTCTCCCTCCGTATTCCTAAAACTTAACCCCCACTCTTTAACCCATCATTTAGGTTTAATGGCGCATAATAAGAAGCGTTGTCGTACTCAATTCGGATGCGAGAATCTCAATCTGAGTGCCATGCAAAGGTTTCTGCTCAGCGAGCCCAGCGACGAGGATGGTGGCCATGATGGTGCGGGTGGCATCGATGCGGCAAGGGAAATCCATCAGCAGGCGCCGAAACGTTTGGCGTTGCATGACACAAACATCAGTCGCTTCAAGCGCGAGTTTATGCAGGTCAGCGTCATTGGTGTCGGCGAGTTCGGAGTTGTTTTTCAGTGCGTCAATCGGCTGGATGGCTGCATCTATGCGATCAAAAAAAGCAAAAAGCCCGTTGCGGGCAGCTCATTCGAGTAAGTTGATCTCAAAGTTCTTAGCAGACTTGGGTATCTAATTAATAACCAACTGTTCTCCATGCAGGAAGCGCGCCTTGAACGAGGTGTGGGCGCATGCGGTTCTGGGCAAGCATGATAACGTGGTGCGATACTATTCCGCTTGGGCGGAGGACGATCATATGTTGATACAGAATGAATTCTGTGACGGTGGCAGTCTTCATGCGCGTATCCAGGAGCACTGCCTGGGCGAATCCGAGCTAAAGATATTGCTGATGCATGTGATTGAAGGCCTGCGCTATATACATTCGAATGATCTGGTGCACATGGATATCAAGCCGGAGAACATATTCTCCACAATGAATCCGACGGCGCACAAGTTATGCCCCAATCCACAGCAGCAGCAGCCCGGCAGCAAGGACGACGATGGCATGGACAGTGTCTACGAAGAGTTGCGTCGCTCCGAGAATCTCGTCACTTATAAAATTGGCGATTTGGGACATGTGACGTCCGTGAATGAGCCGCATGTGGAGGAGGGCGACTGTCGCTACCTGCCCAAAGAGATACTGCAGGAGGACTACAGCAATCTGTTCAAGGCCGACATCTTCTCGCTGGGCATAACGCTGTTCGAGGTAGCCGGCGGCGGACCGCTGCCAAAGAACGGGCCCGAATGGCACAAGTTGCGTAACGGTGAGGTGCCCACGATTCCAACGCTTAGCAAAGATTTCAATGAGCTTATTGCGCAAATGATGCATCCGGAGCCAAATAACAGACCCAGCTCAATGTCCATATATAGTCATCCGTAAGTGAACAGCAGTAGTTTAGTTACTCGAACATTCTATCTTCAATAAGTAATCGTAATTTAATTTTTAAACATTGATTTCATCGATGTAAAATGTGTTGTATTTTTAAGTATGTTTAAGTATGTTTAAATTTAAACTGATTTTTCTTTTCACAGCATTTTGAGCGCTGTGGACTCCAAAAGCAAATTGCAGCTTGGCCTGGAGCTGACCGTCGAGAAGCGAAAGAATGAGATATTGATGAACAAGTTGAGGGAAGCCAAAAAGCAAATCAAACTGCTCGAACAGCGTGGTAAGCTGTCTACATAACTATTGTGTGTGTGTATATTTAATTAACCCTTAAACGTATGTGGTATTTATTACAGTTTCTGTACTGGCCAGTAGTTCGGAGCCATTGGACGGTCAACGGTGCCTGCGATCCTTTACGCGACGCATGCGGACACCGTTTGCGTCGCATGCTAAATTTAATAATCTTGGCGATCGGAACAAGAACGTTATTGCCAATTTTTGACAATTTCGATTCAGCTTAACGCCGGCACTAAAAACTCTTCCGCATTCAAAGTGAACAAAGCTCACATTCTTGTTAATTTAAGCATGTATCCATAGTCTATAAGTTGTTGCGCACTACGCAGTTCCAAAAGAAACAAACTAAAAAAGCCTCAATATCGTTTGAGGTTTGTTCCTAATCGATTTTACTAAAGAAAACACAACGCAAAAAGGTCAATTTATACATTTCTCTATTGAAATTTCTTGAATAAACAAAAAAGCGTCATGGTATTGCCTTAATCTTAATTTTTTTACAAAATAAAATCCAATATTTTTGTATATATTTGAGTAATATTTGTAAATTAGTATGTATTGTTTTCGTAATTAAAATATTTATTATGTTATATTAAAAGCGAAAATATTTAAGAACATTCCATTCGCGAATAAAACGAATGTATTCAATTAAGTTACTTCAAAAACTTGTTTTAATTAATTTGGCAAATAACTGAAATGCTTTTCACATATGTAAATTAAATTTCATTGTTCTGTGCTCGATCGTTTCCTGTGTTTGAACATAACAACCCCCAACACAATGCAATGCTTCGATATGTACAGCTATCGATATAATTTTGTCCTAGAGATGTGTGCGGTTTTCTAGGAACGCGATAGTTCTTGTAGGGTTGACACGGTGCCTGTGGCAAATGATTTACTGAGCAACACCAGAAACTCATGTGGTTACAAGTGCTCCGATCAACTTTCAAATAGAATGGCCAAAATAATACAGAAATATATAAAGTTCACCGCGCAAGAGCTGGAACAGTATGCTGCCAACCCCGAGTCATGTGTGCGTTGCATTCAAACAGATCTACACCTGTCCATGGGTCCATATGGCATGGCCAATTTCAAGCACGCGCTGCACGAGCTGCTCATCCGCACCAAGGTGGGCATGTATGATGCCAAGCTGAATGGCATCGTGCTGGGTATTAAGAACATCAAGGTGCTGAGTCAGACGGCAGCGTTACGCTCCGATGATCCAGCGCTGCACTTGGCCATTAATGCCGATTTCTATGTGTTCAGGCCGGTGGAGGGCGCAGTGCTCCATGGCGTTGTGCGGCACATATCCAAGCATCAGATCAGTGTCATCATCTACAGAGTGTTCAACACAACAATACGTTTCACGAATCAGAAGCAAAGTCGAGATGTCTTCGTCATGGATCAGGAAATCAAATTTCGAATCAAGAACTTCAATATAGGCACAGTGATGCCATACATCGAAGGCGAACTGTTGCTTGAGGATACGGAAAAAGTGGTAAGTGATCAGACCAATGACACAATTGCAAATCTTAACGACATCTTTTTTCCTCTAGAACAAAGTGATCAAATTTGAGGATAGCCCGGAGTCTGAGGAAACAGTGAAAGAAACCTCGATCCAAATTGAGCTCGATGCTCTTGTTGAACTAATTAAAATGGAGCCAATTACAGAAGCTGATGCCCCGCCCAAAAAGAAAAAGTCCAGCAAACGCAGCAGTGCCGTCGAGGCTGATAAAGTTGAGCAACAATTGAAAAAACCGAAGAAAATAAAAACAGAACCCGTTTAGCTCTTAAAACTCTGTGTAGCTTCAACTGTTAATCGTACAAATTATAAATAAGTGCACATTTAGAATCTTTTAGAATATTTCAGTATCAAGAATACAAAGTGCTGACCAAGTGCAGATCCTGTTTGAGTGTTAGATAGCCAAAATTGTATAATAGGCATATTTGGAATGCTCTCCGAAAACTGAATGCAAATTGAATATTATTGATTTGTCTTCTGCCAGCACATTTACATTTCATCATGGATGGATACAGACTCACTGAAAGATTAAAAAGTTGGCAAAATAATTTATATCCGCAACCTAGTTAACCGGATTTTGACCAGCTGAATTCCGCAAACCTTTCCAAATTCTCGCCTAGATCTGGCTGCGCATGAATTTCAAGAGCCGTTATTAAGAAGGAAAGTATGTCTGAGTCCTGTTCGATTTCATAGCCATATACAACTCAGATATATATGTATATCTGGGCAGTGAATGAACGATGTATTTATAAGTAAACCTATGGTTCATTCAGGTATTCAATGTACTATATTTTAAATGAATTTAATTACAATTTGAATCCATTTAATTTTTTTTTATAAAATATTCGAAAATGTTGCAAACTTCGCACCCTTTTCTTTGGAATTGAATAAACTTAATTAAATAACAATTAATAGTTAATTGTTAATATTGAGGAAGTTGCTTTACAAGTTGAAATTTCGTTTATCGTCCAAAATTCAATAAACAATAAATCAATTGTTGGCGTTTTGTTCAATATCACCATGAAAATGCCGAGTATACATAAGTATATTTTATTACATGTGTATTTCATACAAATAGATTCAATATTTTACAATACATTTACTCGTAAATACATTATGTGTATTATATTCATATAAATATGTGTGTATATATATATATATATATTTAGTATTTAATTATAATAATTAAAAGCTTGTTACATACTTTTATTTGTTTTTCGTTTTCTGTTTTGATTATTAAATACATAACAAGCAAATATTGTAATAAAATATGAAATCTTAACCATTGTCAAATGAACATAAACTATACACACACCTATATGGAAAACAATCTTCAATACATAATAAGATACAATAATAATATTAATAATAATTTATATATTTATATGTATAAATAGTATATGAAGCCTACATACACTAATTAGTTTATGTACGCGACACGACTACAAGGAACATTTACATAATGTACAAACAGACAATAAGTACATACACACACAGATCCTTAAAACAATTTCTATTTCTCGCAGTTGTATCCACTACGGCAAAGTAAGGATACCATTAAGAAAGGGCAGTGAAAGTGAAAATAGGATGAAATTCGAAAGTATATTGAAAACTTGTTTTCGGTTTTTTTTTTCTTCTCTTTTGTTTTCGTAATATTTAAGGATTAAGTACTTGGAGTACTTGCGAGCAGAACTGAAATTCCATTAGCTAAGCTTTAGAGCCATCTGATTTAGACAGAGATTTCCTGAATATGTACACGTTTCTTGCCGCTGCTACCCGATCCGCTGGCTCCACCAGCCGCGCCCGCCTGACGCAGTATTCCCATTTGCTGTTGCTGCTGTTGTTGTTGTTGTTGTTGCTGGGCAGCTAGAAAGGAGCGTGGTGGTGGCGGCGGTTCGGGTATATCATCGTCCCGCATGATATCCAAATCGCCGCTGGCCGCTGCCTTTACCGCCTCTTCAATGGCCTTGAAGGACATTTGATCGGAGGACTGGACGGCATAATCGAATTGCAGCTGCCCGCTGTTATCCAGAAAGGAGCCACTTTTGCTGCCCTGTGCCGATGCCTGTCCGGTGTTCGCCTCCAACACCGTTGCCAGGGGCAGTGCATTGTAGGTGACCATCTCAATATGAGTGCCACTTGGATGCGCCTGTGGACGCGTCTTGAGCAGATCCAGTGTGCTGGTTGAGCACGCCTCCCAGCCGTCCATCATTAGTGTGGTTTGTGCCGCATGCGTCACCGGTGGCAGCTCCACCAGCAGCTTCTCCTCCTTCAGCTGTTTGGTCTTCTCATCGTAGCAGCTGTACTCGCCAAATACCACGCCCATGCCGCCGCCCTTGGTGTCTACAACGGCGCCACTCAGCGTATAGGCATCGTTGCCATCGGCGCCGCCAGCATTCAGCTTCAGCACGCTGGAGTTTTTACTGGTGTCGCCATCCTGCAGTTCCTCCTTGGTTTTGGCATCGCGTGCTCGCTTCTCGCGCTGATGATAGATGCCCGCAAAGATTAGCACGTTGAGGATGAGCAGGAAACAGCCAACGGCCACCGTGGCTATCAGCGCTGTCGTATAGCTTTGGAACTGCTTGCCACTCAGGCGGCGCAACAGCTCCAGATTGCCAATGATGCCCGTCGATGCAGTGGCCAAGTCCTTGCGTGTCTCCACTTTGCTGTGGGTGCGATTGTCCTTCGGTGACTGTGTTGTGGTCAACTCGGAGACGGACATGGCGCCATCGATGCCACATTCTGTTTACATAATAAATGCAAATTACGGAAACACATTCTGTTTAATATTGATCAAAATAATAAACACATTCTGCTTAAATAATAAATACAAATAATAAATAAACATATTCTGTTCACAACAAATCGAGCTCAATTTTAATGTTTTCAAAATGGAGCTGGATTCATATAAAAGAACAATTATTACAACCAACAATAGCAAATAATTTTCATTGAACTATAAAAGTTGTACAGGTTTGTACAATTTTGCCTGCTGAAAATAGCATGAGAAAACCAATAAAAGTTGGGTTTCCTAACTTTAATAGAAACGCCATGAAACTTTCCCATCTGTAGATGGAGATACAAGTTACGAAATTAGTTTTTATGTTTACCTGTGGTGGCAGTTGCACCTGTGGCGCTTAGAGCATTTGTTGCATTTGTATTCTCTTCCTTTGGGGATTGTGGTGGCAGAGGAGTGGTTGTTGTGCGGGTCGTTTGTATTACTAAGATATTGTCATCTTCCGCCGGCTTCGTTTGCAGCTGGGGTCGCACCACGCCTAAAGCAATTGAGAGAGTGGATTCTGTGCAGGACAATAAACAAAGTTTGTTTCATATTTACCTTCATAGAGATCACGATTATTGAGGTCATCTTGGAACTGATGATGCCGCATGGACTGATCATTGATGTTGAAATGACGATGCAGCTGTGGTATCAAATTCAGCCACATGGACAACTTATGACCACGATAATGACTCTGAATGTTAACCTTGTTGCCTGCCATACAAATTAGTATCTTGTGAATAATTTCTTGATTTAATTCACAGAAAGTTAAAACAAACGAAAAAGCTTCCCTTTTGAAAAGGTTACTCAGCTTTCGCATTCAAAAGTAAATTTCAATTTTCATTTGGAAAAACAAAAGTTATGTAATTGCAATAATTTTAGCTGTGTTCTGTTTTGTTATAGAATTGTTATTACAACTACTTAGAGTTATATTTTATACAAATATTTTGTGATAACTTTTTTAGCTCAGCGCGATATTAACTTTTTACATTTGCCACAAAAAAAGAACTGCAATATTATTTTGATTAATGATAAATAAAATAACAGAAAATACCATTTGGGAATTGAAATTATCTAGCAAAATTGTAGACCTACCCAGCTCAATGTACAGCTGATTGACCACATCGTAGGCATCCCAGAAGGGCAGCGCATCGCCATCATAGCCGCCTGGCTCGAGCTCAGTGCCCAGGCCCTGCTGCGTGGAGACGCCATCGTTGCTCCGCAATCGCCTCCTGAAATACGAACGCTTCTCGTGCATCGCATTGCTGCGCCGCTGATTGTAGATGACGGCCAGGTTGAGTGCCTCGCCAGTTGCCATGGCATCTAGATATCGGGGCGCGGAGCGTTTGCGTTGTGTGTGTGTTGCAACTTGAGTCTGGCTGGTGGCGGCGGCGGCCAGAGCAGTGCTTGATGTTGATTGGTTCGGATTGCTGGGAATGTGTCGACAAAATGGCATGTTAGTTCCAAGCAAAGAGGTCATAGGTCGAGAGGTCATACCCTGTTTTGGCGAAATTCGCTAAATAGCGCAGCATGAGTCGACCAATTTGTCGCTCCTGTGTCGTGTAGTTGTGTGGAAAGAGCGGAGAGACTGGCAGTCCCAGCCAGAAAGGCACGTCTTCGCCGCGCACTGAACCGGTTCGCTGTCAATGTGGAGCAGGTCAAGGTTACGAGGTCAGAGAGTGGCTCGCTTATATTTGCACCCACCTGTGGATATTCCTCCTCAATGGTGCGATGCTTAAAGTGCACGAAATATGTTCGACCACCCCGCAAACTGTGCATATAACCCAATTTGATTAGTGGCGCCGCCGTGTGGCCATCGCTCAGAAACTGCAACGTTGCATCCCGTGCACTTAACGGGTTCCGTATGGCCTTCTCCCAGTCTGTATACTCATTCTGCAAAAGCAAAAGCAAAAGCAAATAATCGATTAAGTGTATCTATAGTTTAAATAAAACGCTCTGTTTACCTTTAGCACCGCGAATATCTCGTTTAAATGATAGTGAAAATTATTGCGAACAAATGTGCGTAAAATGCGATCCCGTCGGGTCTCATTGAAGCCAAACTCCAAGTCCTGGGCGCTCAAATCCAGATAGGATTCCACAGATGTTAGACAGAAGATGAGGTCACGTTTGGGAAAGTTGGCATATTCAATTCCTGAAGTACTGTAAGGCCCACTATATAAAAGAACTCAAATATCTTGCAATCTATGCTTGACTCACCTAACAATAGCTGAGCCCAGGGGCAGGGCAGTGCTGGACATGGTCTCAGTGTTGGGGGATATGACAGTGCCATCAACGAAAGGCGCAAAGCCAACCAGAAAACTGCAAGGAATTAACAAATCGACTCATGAGATTCTAGTGAAAAGGGTATATATATAAGAAAAACAATAATAATAATTTTTTGTGATGTGTTGCATCTTTGGGAATCTTAACTAATCAATATAAAAATCTATTTCTCGGAAATTAGATCCTATTAGTGCCAATTGAAATTTCAAGGTCAGGGAAAAGATGTTTCTCACAAGCTCCTAGCTGATATGATTCTTCAAAGTTAAGAGACAGTTTATCTGCCTTTAACACAGGTTATTTATAATTAAGTCAGAAAGCTTACATTTTGTTTAGATCATATCTATGATATGAACTTTGAATCCTGAAGAGAATATCCAGTATCTAAATTGCATTTCACAAAAGAGATATATTTCTGTCTATACTACTACTAGTTCTTACTATATAGTTATTATCTCTATGAAGCCATCTATCTATATATATGTACATATAGACTTTGATTTCACTTACCGCGGATGATCGATCTGAACTGCGAGTAACTCGGCAACGCTTTTGGTGCGCAAACAGGGCGCCAGATCATCGTAGAGCATGTCTCCGTGGCAGCCAGTTTGTTCTGCCACGCGTCTCTTCACGAACAGCGGATTCTTCTGTATGCCCCAGGATGAGAGGGCGGTGCCGCTAATAAGCACAGCGCGTTGTATTAGATCTAAAGGAAAATAAAACAAACCTGAATAAAGCAAAGCTTGGGCTATGATTTAAATGAACATACCACTGGCCACGGGTGAGACGGCCAATATGTTGGCCAGGACAGCTCCAGTGCCATAGCCGAGCAGCGTAATGCTCTGCGGATTGCCACCAAAGGCGGGCAGATTCTCCTTGAGCCAATGCAAGCCGGCAACGAGATCCATGAGACCAAAGTTGCCCTGGGCGCTCTCCTTGCCGCCGGTCTTGAGGAAACCAAAGATGCCGAGACGAAAATTGATTGTCACAACGATGACGTTGCCATGGGCGGCCAGCTCGGAGCCATCGTAGGGATTGCCCGAATTCCACTCGTACGATTCGCCATGTATGAAGACCACTGTGGATAGCAATGAATCGGAACTCGAACTGGAACTCGAACTGCTATCGGCATCCTCATTGTCAGCTGAAAAAAGAAGAGTATTTCAGCGCCCGATAACAAATATTCTATTAAATATATATACAGTATATATAGTCAATATTAGTTACTTACACCATTTGCTGTATGTGGTCAACAGAGCTGCCAATTCTGCAGGGCATGCAGTAGTTGCTTAAATCAACTGCAATGCACTACGGAATTGAAAGTTACATTGCCATTGCAACTCCCAACTTTTCCTGCCGCACAAATAGTATATGTTTATTTAATTTCCCCTAGGACTGTGGGCTAGCTACCTTTCAGCATTAATTAAACAGTCAATGGAATCACTTTCAGGACACTTTTTTGTGTTTTTACCCTCATCTCATATTAAGTGTTTACAGTTAATCGATACTGCCATTTGTAATTAAGCCATTAAGCGCTTTAAATATCACATATTTTATTGGCTACATTGCATAATAAAGTTTAAATTATTTACTTAATAGCAAGCGTATATTATTTTTCGCTCATTAATTTTGTTCTGCATACGATTTCGAAATAATTATGTCTGCGGCTTATCGGTAGTATGCAGTTTATCTGGGCAGCTTGGCCAGAAGCAGGGCCCAAACTGCAAGCCTGTTTACTATCAATGTCGGGAGAAATGTTGGTCAATAAATAAATGAAAATAGTAAAAAGAAATGAATGTAAATGATATGTTAATGAATGTAAATATTTTAATGCGATTATTAATTCGATGAGCTAACCTATAAATTCGAGTAACCCCAATTCACTTGGCATTTAAATTATTGATGAATTGTATAACAACTTACGTTGGGTTCGCCGCGCTTCTTCGGGCACATAGATATTAAGATATAAGCAGTCTTCCGATTGGTTCTTGAGCAGCGGCAGCAGACGCCGCAGCTGGGCGAGACGGGCACGTGGCACCTCGAGCAGGGCCTCTGGTCCATTGGGCGGTATGGGCACACTTTGCGGACAAACGGGCGAGAATCGATCCGCGTTGCGGGTCGTTTTCCACGTCGATGGCGTTATGGGTGGCATAAATCTGCAAGTCAATGGAATGTCCGCAATATGTGAGTATAAATATGCAGCAATTCGCTGAGCGTAGTAATGGTAATGGTAATGGCATCAAACTATCGCGATTACTTCCGTTTTGCCTATTTCGAGGGAGGGATGTGTGGGATAGTTGTTGTTCTTGTTGATGTTGTTGTAGTTAGTTGGCGTAAAAGGATTCGCTATCAGGCTATCGTAAAGCATAGCATTGATGTACATAGCCCATCAATCAAAATTCGCAACTGTTTTTGATTAATTGTGCATTTTATTGTTTATTGCGTTCAATGCCATCGATCAAATGCCGAATTGAACGACATGTTTGCTTCAGCAGGAAGGCTTCACTGTTGATTTTATGACACAACAATTGACGCGAAACGCTTTTATTGTTTTTTCTTTTTGTATTTTGTTTTTTTTTTTGCGCGATTTAATGCGGCTTTCTGCCCACCAACCCATCCGAAAGTATATCAAGCTCTCATATCTTGTAGCCTGATGTGGCATCATTTTTTAGCTTTACGTAATGGTGCTGCCTTCCCTCAACTTGCCACAACTTGCGGTTCCTGGTTTATAGCACGGAATGTTCATTGGACAATAGCGAAAAGCTTTTAAATTGAACGCATTTTGTTTGTCTCGTTTTGTGCCCTCAGAACTTCTTAATAAGCAATAAGCCAATAATTTTTATACTAATACCCTGTACTATATTTTTTGCAGACATTTTTGGATGTAGCCCTTTATTAAAAAAAAAAAACAAAACATAATTTATGGCAGAGCACGTATATCGAAACATTTAAATACATAAATTCTCTGGAGCTGACTGAGCATTTTCTGTCTAACAGTTTTTATTTCAACAATTCATAATTGGCTTAAACAATTGTTTGCTTTTGCTTCTGATAAAAAGTGTATTTTATTTGTTTGTCGATTTGATTTAAAAATCATTCAGTTTAATTAATTTGCATTTTTTGATACCCTGAATGGACACAAAGCGGTATAATGAATATGCGCAAAAGTATGCAAAAGAAAGATAGAAACATGTCCGACCCCATAAACTTTATATATTCTTGATCAGCATTAACAATATGAACTAGTAGATTTCAGAGACTATAAGAGTGAAAGGATTCAAACTTGAAATATACATGATAGTTAGCCATGAGTAGATCAAATTTAAAAATAGATCAAAAATAGCAGCAAATCGATTTCCGATATAAATAAAGGACATAATTGCAAAGATTAAGCTTTCCAATTGAAATATGATATACCCTGATTTATTTTGATTATTTTGATATTTCCATATTCAACAAGCCTGTGCTTAAGTGAATTTAAATATGTAACAGCTGGGATCAGGGTATTCTCAAGTCGAGCTCTCTCGAATAAGGTTATCATAATTGCTTTTTTACTTTTCTTTTTTAATGGTTTATTGCTTTGAAATACATTTTTTCCAACATAAAACTCTTGTACTGGGACTCATAAACATTTTTGTATTTCTATATGAATCACGTTCAGCGAGATTATCTGTTAACAACTATTACTTTTGAGAAGTGCTGATAGATATTAGTTGCTTTTTGCCCATTCTTATGGTTTTATGAGCATTTGAAACTATGTCAAACAATAAAGCATCAAGAGAAGCTGAGAGCAGTGCGTGTGTGAAAGATTTATGACAGTTTAGCACTCTCGATTATGGCATTCTTTCTAGATGATGTATACACTCTGTAGTAGAAATGCACTACTGAAATATATATATAAATGGTGATGTGTAGATTGTATAAAGAGCGCAATACGAGTATTTTCTGACGCTGACAAGACTTGTTTGGTTTCCAGAATTTTCGATTAGCAACTTCGGCGACAGACACAGATTTAAGGTTAGACGCAATGATTAATTAGCTTTCGCATGCTATGCGGCAAATTGACAATTTGTCAAATATCACGTTTATTTGGTAAACCCGCAGCCAGCGTGCCGTCGTCTTCATCCGCCCACTGTCCGCAACAATTGCCGTTCGAGCATGAATAATTCGCACATAGACCTGGTTGACTTTGGAGACTTGGTATCTTGAGGATAAGTCAGACCGCAACTCAGTGACATTTGATTAAGTTCTGGTGTTAATTTGTGGCATCTGTTGATGCTGCATAACAATGAAGCAACATTCATAAGCGACTCCGTTTGACTTTAGCTGCCAGCAAGTAATTAAAGAACAATTTGCTTAACCAAAACAAACACGAGAAACAGGGCAGCCGAGAGGGGATTGCGATACTACATTTTGAAATCAGTTCATGTTCAACACTCACTTGTTGTGCATGCATGACAAATCAAACTCCACTTGATCCAGAAGTTTTTGCCCGAGGATAAGTATCGCATAGATATGGGACACGCTACCCCAATGTGCACAAGTGACAAAGTGTTGCAAAACTTTTGCAATATGCCGCAAAGTTGCTTTAGATTTGACTCTGGTGTCTCGCAAGTCTCAACTCTCTACGAGCAACTCTCTCTTGGGCTGTTCGGCAAGCAAACTGACAAAAGACCTGAAGAGAGTTGCAAAAGTATTAAAGAACTTAGTTAGACAACTAAGAGAGAGTCGTGATTACAATTATCTTTAAAGACACTGAGCTACAATGTGAATGCCAAAATTTTGTCAAGTGTTAGCCACGTTGAGCTTATACACATAGTTTTGAATATTGAAGAACAAAGCGATTGAAAGTTCCAAATTTAAAATTAAAACAAACTTTATCTGTTAATACAAAAAAAAGAAAAACAGCAACTGCCTTCATTTTTCGCAAACAATTTTAAACAAATTAAACAGCAGTTAAATTATATTTTTTATACTTGAGAGTTTATGGTTTTATACGCAGCGACCATAAAATGTCTAATAAAGCTGTTTGAGATCCATTATGTGTTTAATGAAGTGCCAAAAATGTTTAATTTTAATGAATCTGCTGGTTGAACTCAGTCAAGCAAATCTAAGGAAAAAAATGCTGATCTCATGAATTAATTAGACGACAAGTTCTTAGAGTATTCACATCAATAAACACTGAGACGCAGACAGTCTTATTCAATAATGTAAACTGATAATGATGTATTAATAATAAAAATAATCTTACTCTACTCCATTTAATATATCCCTAAGACGGTGATATCTTCGTTGTATTTTATAAAAACAGTTAGATGTATTAAATATATTTGGCTACAATTTGTAAGCGATGCACAGATACCTTAAATAATTTCCTAATTTTTTAATCTAAACAAAAATATTAGCATTTTACTATTTTCAAGTTTAGTTTTTATATTACGGAGTCAAATAAATTGAACAGTTTCACTCTTAAGTAGAATGAGTTCTTTTTTATAACATGCTTTTGGCAAAATAACATCAAAGTTCACTCATCATTTTAATGAGTTTTATTTCAACTTGCTGATTTAAAAATGTTGTGAAACTTTTGAACTATGTTTTTGTATTAAATTTCCATATGTAAAAGTCATAATAATGAGACCAGCATGTACATGTCATAAGTCGAATAGGAAATATCCATTGAAGGTAAAGTTTACGCACAAATATAGTAATATAAAACATCATGTGCAATGTAGCTAGTATTGTTAAGCCAATTTCTGTTAAAATTATTTTCATAAAAAAGTTTTGATGCAAAAACTTATTTTGTTGCTTTTGCTGCTCAACTCATCTCATATTAAACTGTAAAAAGTTTTCATGAACATAATTTTAAAATGCTCATCTGCATTCAGTTTGCTAGTTGGAAAAGTTATTTTTGCCAGTGAAACCCAGAAATTACTTAAAACACAATAACATATCAGATTTATTTTGTTGCTAGCTCAGCTTAATCAATCTATTGTAAACATTGTTTTACTTGCTTAGTGCACTCGTGGCCGTGGTCTAAACTGCAACCGTTCTTATATTGATATAAATGAGCCCGTTTACTGTGCTAAGCTTAGTTAGTGCTCAGTTAGTCCCCACTGTCTGGCAAAATAAATGTTTAAAATGCTGCCAACTGCTAATTGTAAAATAAACAGTGTATGCACAGTTCAGCTTCATTAGGAGCCCTTTGGCTATTGCCTTGCAACTTTAATCTGGCGAACAATGTGCGGGCGTCCTGCACCTGAGCTGGGTTGTCTGGCCAAACGGCTTTCAGCCAGATAGGTTGTATGCATTACACAAATGTGCAAAGTTCCGGGCGTACTTTGTGCGCAATGTTCACATATATTTTATTAAAAAAAAAAAAAAACAAACAATTATTAAAATTGCTTTTGGCTGCCGCATAAGGCCGATAAAGTTGCTGTGGGCCAAGTTTGCATAAATCTGGCACACAGACAGCACCTGCAGGCCAACACCAAGAGTTGACAATTTTAGCGGGAAACGTAGGTAAAAAAAAACTCAACTTTGTTTACAAAAGGTGGAAAAGTGTCAAACGAAGCTAAATAAAAGCTGAACTTTATTTAGAAAAGCTTTAGAAAGTTATTGTAGTGTTTGGCGAAAGGTCAGAGTTGACAATTTTAGCGGGAAACAAAGCTAAATATAAGCTTAACTTTATTTAGAAAAGTTTAAGCCTTGATAGTTGCTGACAAATTTTAGCGGGAAACGAAGGCAAATAAAAGTTAAGCTTTAAAAATGTTTGTACGTTATTCTGTGTAATAAACTACAATATTAACTTTTGGTAAATACAAATTAGCTCTTATTTACCTTCATTTGACGCTAAATTCTGTATTTTTGTCTATTTAAATATTAGTTAGAGTTGAGTTCTCACTTTTTAATTGAAATAACATGCATTTGTACTTCCATCGAATACCATTTAAATTTTCCTTGTTTGTATATTAAAAATGACTGGATGCAAATCCAAATTAAATTTGATAGCTTTTTTACTTTTGTCACTTGGTAATTCAATTAAGGAGGATTTTCTTTTATAGGTTCACATTTTAGAAAAAAAGCTAGACTGCTTGCCATCACTGAAAGGAACAGACAACCGCATAATCTGGGCTGTTGAAAACTCACCTGAGACTGCCCACGGGCGGCGATGCATATGGTATGCCAAGGAATGCCTCCACCAGCGGCGTGGAACGGACCACAATGCCCCGTAGTAGGCCGTACTTGGTCTTGACGGTGTTGGCGCTCAGCTTGGCGCCATGTACACATTCGCAGTCCGGCCAGAGCGAGGATAAGAGCAGCAGCAGGAGCAGCCACGTGCTGCCGCTAGTCTGATGACGCCAGCAGGATGGTGCCTGTGTCAGGACCTGCGAGTGCCATAAATGTCGCTTCCGATGCGCTGATTGTAGCTGCTGCTGCTGCTGATGATGCTGATGCTGGTGGTGCTGCTGCTGCTGCTGCTGCTGCTGCTGATTGTGTGTTGGCATTGCCAAAATGTGTAGAAATCTCTTTAATGTTATCAGTCTTATAATGCAAATGCGTGTGCGAAGTTGCAGGCTGCTGTCGCTGTTGCTGTCGCTGTTGCTGTTGCTGACGCTGATGCTGCGGATTTCCATTTCCGTTTCCGCTGTCATCTGCAGCTTCTTCACAGTTGTTGCACAAATAGCTCTAATGTAGCTCACCAAGGAACCGACAAGAACGTAACAGTAAATGCGTAAAAAACGCGATTGGTTTAGCTTTAGCTTAGTTGGTTGCTGTTTCTTGCTCCTCAAATTTGTCGTTGTCATCAATTGCCTCTGCCCACTTCTATTTCCTGTTTGTGTTGTCTGCGTCTGCAGTCTGTGATTGACGTCATTTTCATTTTGACAGCGGTAGTGCGCATATTGAGCTTGTGATTGAGATAGAGTAGCGCCGACATGCTCATACCCTTTTGCTTTGATTTCAAATATTATACACTTAACAGGCTGCCTGCTGCACGGCAATCACACAAATTCCCTTTGCCGTCTCCTCGCTCTGTGCTGTTTTAAAAGAAAAAAGAAAAGAAACAAAAGTAAATGTTAAGTAACCTATTAACTTGGCTCTTGTCATGTATGGTTGTGTGTGTGTGTGTGAGAGAGTGTGTTGCGAATGTGAGTAGTGTGTGCTTTATGGCCGCTTTGGCTTTGTCGCACCTTTTCGCCAGCGAGTTCGGGTCTTAACTGTGCAACGCATCAGAGCGTAGCATCCTTAAATAGCTTTAGCCGCATCCGGGTCGACACCGGCGTGTACCGTAAATGCGACCTGTCCTGTGCAAACTGGACTCAATTCATAGCCAACCCAGCCTGCCCCCCCCTCCCCAAGTCCTTCGTAGCGCACCCTTGCGCCCCATCCGACTGATTGCTTCTTTTGACCTGGCTTTTATGCGCCATTTTAAATGCGCATGGTGCAGCTAGCGGCCGGCTGCTTACTGCTTGCCGCTTGCCGCTTGCTACATGCTACATATCTCGAATACGCTTCATCAAGCGTTGCACATTGCGCCACGTGCGCCCCATGACCTAACCGATATATGCACTAAGCTCAACTGCACTGGTAAAGAGCTGCAAATTAAGTGAGCTCAGTGGACCAAACGATAACAAAACAGTGTTCAAATTCAGAACTTAAGAGAGAACTCCCTGCAGAATATTCATGAGTTTGATTTCTAAAGGATTAAAATAAAATCTTTTTCTATATATGTATCTTTAATCCCCTAGATAGCGTCCATGTAGACCATATAGATATTATCGCTTATACAGATTATCTATTTAATCTGTGCAAAATGTTATTTTTATAAGCCATTTAAAATGCACTTTCGTTTTAAGAAATTGTTCTATTATTATTTACTTTATATTGAACAAACTTTTACTTAAAGAGTTAGAAAATTTGTATTCTAATTATTCGTCCTCTTGTGGTTGTAAATAAATATCTCAAGAGAAAGAAAAGAGAGTCAACAAGTTTTTCACAAATTCTCAAGATATTGGCAGCTTTAACATTAATTTGAAATAGTATGTATTTGATTAAACATTTTTCTAGCTATAACTAATAAATGAGCATTAATTGGCATTGGCATTTACAGCAGAGGCATGCAACCCCCTTCGAATGCCAAAAACCACAAAAAGGTTATGCCCACAGTTAATGCAATATGTATAAAGTACCTGCAAATTTTCATGTGAAATTTCTTTGTTGTGGTACAGCATGTAAATCTGATTAATATATATGCCATGAAGAGCTTAGGTCTTGACAAAAGCCAAAAAAGAAACCCTTAAAAAAGAGAAGAAAAAAAACGGAAAACAAAACATGGCAAATGATGTGAGCAGTTAAGCTCCTTGGGGCTCATTAACAATGCCCACAGACACACACACATACACACACACACACACACACCCAGTCTCGTACCTTAGTTGTAATACCCAGACACATGACGAGTAGTGTAATTTGTCTTTCGGTCTAAACAGACTCGTTTAAATCGTATATTTCTAAGGCGAAACAATTGACTGAAATGTAACGATTGCGACGGACTGCTGACACACACACACACGCACACACACACTCACACATACGCACACAGAGATCCAGTGCCGGAACGACAAACTCACAATTTTTCTAAATTGCAGCTATAAAACTAAAGTTTAACTATGAGTCCCGAAACCCACATACCATCTACTATGCACTAAGTATTCCCATGACCAGCTCCATTTCTTTCATTTCAATGTCTCGGTCCTTGTGTCTGTATGTGTGTATGTGTGTGTGTGTTTCCCTATTTGTTTGTGTGCGTGTTGACAACCAAAATGTCGGCACGTTTTTAACGAAATATTTATATACCCCGCAGCGAATGAAAATGTATAAAATGGGTGTAATAATATTGTGCAATTGTACGTAACGGACAAAAAGAAATAATTTTTTATAGTGTAGATGGACGAACGAATCCCAACGGGATTCCTAATATATCGGAGAATACATAACAACCATAAAAAGCACTTGACATGTAGCCAATATTGAAATTATAAGAGATCAACGAAGAATAATCAATTACCATATTCTTATTGATTGATATTTTACTGTGATTAATGTACAAATAATGTTAATCTGATTGCCGAAAATAAACAGATTTTTTATATGTATCTTAAGTCTGTTATAGGGTAACTTCCAGTCGGGCAGTCTCAACTTGATCGCTCCTGCTTTATTTCTTCTTCGTATCGTGGCTTATTTCACTTACTCCTAATTCTTTTTGGTGTGAGTCATGGCTATGCTCTCGAAAAGGGGGGAGGAGGCACAACCAGTCTTCGTGAAAGCCAGTTACAAAATGTTAGGATTTCCAAATAAATTGCAACTTTCAAATTAACTAAAAGCTTAAGTGACATTTGGCTGCAAAATTTGCCATCCGACAATCCCCTCTTAAGGCACACAAAATAGATGCGTGGAGTTGGAGGAAGTATGGCCCGTAGCCACATTCTTTAGCACAAATTTAAGTAGATGTGGCAGAAGCAACGCATGTTTCCGGTATGATAAATATTTACATTTTCGCTTGGCAAACGTCTTTCATGCCATGCATTTCCCCAGCCCTAAGCAATGACATTCTTCAACTCAGATATATATACACATTTTTCTCTGCATCTACTTCCCATCTTTATGGCAAATCTGTAAAGACCGATAAAATTGCATATTTTTGCATGAAAAGCAGGGCAATGAGCAGTGGTGAAAGGAGCTGAGGAAGATGACAACACGCAGACGTAGACTTTACTTCAGGCATCTCACACGTCCATTCACATACGACAGAAAGGGGGCGAGAGTGTGGAGAGGGGAGGGGGGGGGACAGCCATGTGGCAGGTTCTGAGTGGAGCAATGACTGCAAATCATGGCTGTGCAAACAGGAAATGTTGCAATTGTATCCGAGCGAGGAAAATGCCAAAGAAATTACTGCACACTCTCCTATGCACATGCACACGCACACACACGCACACACACGCACACACACACACACACACACACACACACACACACACACACACACACACACACACACACACACACGCACACACTCGCACACATGCACACACGTACAGCGAATGCAACTTTTTGCATTTAAGAGCTCGAAATAAAAATTGCAAGCGCATTAAAAATTGTTGCCATTTTTCCATTGCATTCACAGTTGGCATATCGAAAATGTTCTGTGTGTGCTTGTGTCCTGAGCTCCCAGCTCTTATTTCTTCCCATTTTGTCTTTTTAATAAGCTTGCAACGAATTCCGCAGAGGACTGTCGCCCGAGTGCCTTGACGACGTTCAACGGCATTAAAACTGAAGCGCATCAAAGAAGAAATTTCGATTGCCTGTTATTGGCCATACTACAATGACAATGCTTAACAAGGATATACATTATACTCAGACTTATCACACATTTTTACATTATATATCTTAAGTTTGTTTTCTGACTTTCAAAGTAAATTGATTGTTCAGAAAAGAACACTATTTTCAGCAAAAACACCGCTTGGGCAATAAATTACAGCACATGTAAGTGTTTAGAATGAAGTGGCGGACAAGCAGGCGAAAATGGGGTCAGAGAGTACCTAACAGGACTAAAGCCGTTTTGTGGCATAAGAAGACACCCAACACTGCAACAGATGAGCAACGAAGTAAGGCATAGGCGACAATTTAGCTGTGCAGAGGCAGCAGGTCTCAGGCAAGCCAAATGTCTTTTAGGCGGCTATTATCAAAAACAATTATCAAAAAAAGTAACAGATTTAGAATACTTACTGGTCTCTTGATAGGAGATAATATACTAAGAAGTCACCTAACTAAACTGGCTATAATCAGTGGCGAAAGCTGTTGGTTTTGTGATAATGAAAAATATCCTCAAAGCACTTCATAGCAGATTGTGACGTGAGTTTGCCAAAACATGTTTTGCTTATGCCTTGACTAAGTAATTTTAAATAAAGACCTGCATTTTTATCGCTTATAATTTTCACAATTATTGACCAAACTACGCTGGGGTTAAATTTGTGGCATCAATATCCGACTTTATCTGCTCAATGCCACATTTTTTGAGTACGATACACACTTTGAGTGTGCTGTTTCACAAGAAATGTATCGCACAGAAGCACTTGACTCTGGACACATGAGATGCCTTTGTACCTGGCATCCCCAGATTAAACGACAATGAAATAAATTGTTGGGCCACACAAATATGCAGTCGAGACAATAAATGTAAAATCCATCCAATACCATTAAATTACTTAAAACAATTATTTATTTAAGAGCTTACACTTCAAGCTATTAATAAAAGGTACGATTTAAGCATGTAACAGCAAAAATGTATTTTTATTTATTTGTCAATGTACAAAGTTATGACTAAAAGTTGCATTAGAAGTGCAATCTTTGCACAACCACTGCTAGAACTTCTTTAACAAAAAAGTCACTGAATGGCTAAAGGCATTAAAGAGGGGAAATTTCACTCGAAACTTTTAGAGGAAGCACCAAGTACATATGTGCTATGTGCTATGTGTAGTCACTAGTAAACATATACTTCAAGAACTAAAGTTTCCAGCAAAAAGAAGTTAGTCAAACAAGATTCTTAACTGTGAACAATGTTTTTTCATTTTTTAGTTTTTAGTGAGAAAGCCATTCATAAAGATAACAAATTTTAAGCGCAAGTTTCGCACTCTTACCAATCGTTAGATATTATGGCTAAAGAAAAGAAATATAAATTTGTGGCAAGCACAAACTTTTTCAAATGCTTTTGATTGAAGAATCTGAAATAATTTCGTTGAAATTAACAATGTTTGTCATAGAAAAATCTTTAGATATTTTAACTTCGCTTGAACTATATGTCGCAATTGGTGAGAGTCTTTGGTTGGGTGTAAATCTTTGATAAGTAGGTGTAGGTACAGATCAAAATTAATTAACCCATTATACATTTATAGAAAATATAGATCGAAGGAATTGTTAAAATTATCGACCATGTTTAGCTCTTTGAGTATTTCATCGCATTTGCCAAAGTTATCAGTCT